GGCGCACCCCTCCCCGTCCCCATGGGGTGTGCCACCTGCCCGCCCCTCTCGGCTCTCCACCGCCCGCCAGCCTGGGCAAGTCTCTGTCTCTTGGCCTCTGTTTCTCCGCGGACCCTGGCTGTCTGCACCCAGCGCCCACTTCGCCGACCGCCCTCCTGCCTGCGTTTCCGCAGACCGCGCGCGCCCTCTGGTGCCTGGTCTGGGTGGCGGCGCGCGAGGGGAGGACTGGACGGGGGCGCCAGCAGCACCCACCATTTCACGGATGAGGACACACCAAGGCTCCCAGGGGAAGGTCATGGCTGTCTCTGCTCGGGGAATGCCGCCTGGCCCTGCGGAGGCTCGCTCTATCCAACCCTCTGACCGGTCACTCGCTCACTAGCTGGCTGCATGCAAGCCTGGGATGTGGCTTGAGCCCCTGGCGGACCTCAGGGGCCCAGGCCGGGCTGGACACAGTGTCCTGCGCCATGTGCCAGGGAAGCTCCCTGCGGAGGACATGCTTGAGCAGGAACTGGCCTGGGCGGGGAGGGTACACTGAGGCTGGGCCTTGGTGGAAAGGAGAGGGTCCTGGGAGCCCAGGGGGGCTGGGGAAGCAGAGGTGTGGGCCCAGACCCCTTGGGCTGCAGGGCAAGGGGCCCTCAATCAGCCAGCCTGAGAGCTGGAGATGTGGGGGGGGGCTGTGCAGGGCCTTTGAATGGACCCCCTCCTGTTCCCATCTGGAAGGAGTCTGGGGCCACAGAAGGGACCAGCCTGTCAGTGGGGAAGGGGCCCTGGGATTGGGGTGTTCTCCGTGAGATGGAGGACAATGGTGGGGTGAGGGGCACGGTAGGCCTCCTGGTGTGGGCTGAGCAGTCTATGCTCGCCCTCCCTGAATAGGGCCATTCAGGGGCACTGAGCTGGGACCATCCACTTCCCCACACTCCTTGGGGGCTGAGGCCCTGGGGTCAGTGTGTAGAGGGTCAGCTCAGGGTCAGGATTGGGACCAGGGGCTCCCGGGCAGCCTGGAGAAGGTCAGCCATCGTGGCCAGGCCAGTGTCCCCCTGTCAGTACCTTGGCAGAGGCAGGTCTAAATCCTGGAGAACAGGCAGGAGGGGTGGGGGAATCCCGGGAGGACCATGGGGTTCAGCCCCCCCATCCACCAAGTGGGAAGTGCTTGCTTAGGTCTGACCACACTGTATCGCCAGCCTCTTTCCTCCTTCATGCCCTCAGAGCCCTGATGCTCACTCTGTCATCTGGGTACTGGCCCAGGAGCCCTCAAGCCTGTGGGCAGTGAAGCTGGGCTCCTGCTGACCACCCCCCACAGCTCCTGCCGGGGCCTCGTCCCAGGCGCCTGGTCTCAGCCACGAAGGAAGCTCTGAGCCCAGCAGGAGACTCATCTGTGGGGTCTGTTTCCTCCTCTGGAGCATAACGGGGTGCCCCCTCCCGGCACCATGTTGGGACTAAGTTTAGGAAGTTGCCTGTGTTCCTTGCTGTGACAACGACCATCACCTCTGACCCCCACCAGGGCTCTGGGGGTGCTGGGCCACCCCTAGGGAGGGCAGGGTAGCAGTTCATTTGTACAAAGGAGCCACCATCTCCGATGTGGTGATAAGCCTGGAAGGACAGCCGGATGCCTCGCACCTGCCTACAAAAGCGGGGTGGCTCCTGCCTCACGTCCCACCAGTAGACCCGAGATAGCATCAGCCCGACCGGAGAGTCATCCGTCTTGTCCTACAAAGGCCAGGACAAAGGCCATGTCAGCGGCAGCCTCCCCGACCCGGTCAGTGGGGGTCCGGGCCTTCCTGTGCCAGGCGGCTGAGGCCCAGGCCTGAGGCTCCACTGGGGTCCTGTTTGGGGTCCATGGAGAGCAGCCTTCATTGTTCACAGGGCCAGCCAGGTGGAGGCCACATCTGGGCGGGAGTGAGGACACATCAGCTTCTCATTGGGGCACCCCGGGTCCCTTGTAAGCAGCCTGTGCTGCACTAGGGCAATCACAGTGGGGTCCCCAGCCCTGACTGACAGCCAGGGGTCAGGGGTGACTTAAGGCCCCGAGAGCCCCTGGCTGGTCTGTGCAGTCCGAGGTGCCTTCCCGCAGTGAGCGTGGCACGGGGAGGACATGACTTCAGAGACCCTGCAGCCCCGGGTGCCCACGCACCCCTGCAGGGACGTCTATAGACCCCGCCTTGCATGGCTTGGGCCCTGCCCCACCTGCCGTCCAGAGCTTCTCAGTAGATGCCCAGGGAGCTCCAGGTGGGCCACCAGGCTGTCCTGACCATCCCCACCTCACCCTGACTGCTCCGAAGGCTGCCCCTGGGGAACCTCACACACGGAACTGTCCTCAGGGCCACCCCACAGCCCCACACTGACCCCGGAAACTGCCGCTTAGAGCATCCTCTCTCTCAACACTGCCCTGCAGTGTCCTCACTGTCCCCACTGTCCCCAGTGTCCTCTCTGCCCCACACTGTCTTCTGCCCTACACCATCCTCACTGTCCCCAGTGTCCTCTCTGCCCCACACTGTCTTCTGCCCTACACCATCCTCACTGTCCCCAGTGTCCTCACTGTCCCCACACTGACCCCAGTGTCTCGTCTTACTCCCCACCGTGTCATTGCTGTCCCCAGTATCCTGTTTACATGCTATCCAACCTTGCCAGCATCCCCACTGCCCGCAGTGTGCTACTGTCCCCACAGTATCATCACTCTTCCAACAGGATTCTACTGTCCCCACAGTGTCCTGGTTGTCTTCACAGTGTCCTCACAGCCCCCCTCCCCCTCAGGGTACTCACTCCCCAGCTCCTCCTTCTCCCCACAGTGTCCTCACTGCCCCCCACTGTCTTTGATGTCCCCGCTGTGTCCTTGATGTCTCCACAGCACTGCGGTGAGCCGGGTGGCTTGCTGGGCACCTGGGTGGGGTCCCTTAGCACCCAGAGCACCAGGCCTGACTCCAGCCTCGGAGACCCGCGACCCCCATTGTCCACAAGCCTCGCCACCCGACCACCTGACCACTCTGCACACTGGCTGTACGTTTACTGGCTGTTCACACACGGTCCTCACTATCCACAGTGTCTTCGCCAGAGCACCAGGCCTGACTCCAGCCTCGGAGACCCGCAACCCCCATTGTCCACAAGCCTCGCCACCCCGACCACCTGACCACTCTGCGCACTGACTGTACGTTTACTGGCTGTTCACACATGGTCCTCACTGTCCACAGTGTCTTCACTGTCCCCAAACTGTCCTCACTCTCCCCAGAGTCCTCATTGCCCAGTGTCCACACTACCCAAGTGTGTCATCGTCCTTTGGGGTCCCCTCCCCACTTGAACTTCCGTGAGAGTCAGTGGCTGGGGAGAGTTTACTCACTGACCGCATGTCTGGAGGTTATTTGGGGTGTAGGGAGGTGAGTGTCCCCTTGAACTGCTTCTCGGAGCTTTTTGTGTGGTTTTGGGAAGAGGGTTCCCAGGCTGTGGGTGTAGAGACGGATCAGATCGGGAGAAGGGTTAGGGTTTATTCTGCACTGGAGTTTGGCGTGAGGGACTCC